ATGTCGCCTCACATATAATAGAATGATTCCCTGTCTCTTCCTCACAGTGAGGAATACAGTTTATTCACTTTACATGGTATAGGATCAGTACTCGCCACTGGCAGACCCCTAAAGCACAGGTAGTGGGACTGAAAAAGGTAGATCCTAAGTAATAGTGCTTTGCAAAACAAGTGCTCAAGTAGAAGTAAAAGTAGTCATCAAATATTTGGGGTAGAGTAAAAAAGTATTTACTGACAAAATTACTTTAATTTATAAAATGAATAAAAAATACAGCTTCCCCAAATTTATTTGATGGGGATATAACAGCAACAGATGGTCTTCCTCAGAAAATGTAAAGAAGTGACAAGTCATCATCTCCTGGTTAGATATCCTGCCACTATTCACCAGGCCAATTCCCAGTCTGTATCTCAAGAGTGATCACAAAATATCACAGTAATATTAAACTCTATTAAGTACACCAATTGTTTAAATCAAATCAATATCACTTATCAAATCAAATCAAATATCAAATCACCCTTTGCCTTCAAAACAGTATCAATTCATCTAGGTACACTTGCACAAAGTCAGGGATGTTGTAGGCATATCGTCAGATGGATGATTAAACAGTTACACCAAACGGGCGCTGATCATAAATTCAATATGTAGGTTGAAACAGAAACAGCTATGTAAAAAGAATAAAACTGGTTCAGGAACAGCCAAACTCTAATAATAATAATATATGATAATTAAAAGTAGCGGAAATAATGTAACAGGGTAAAAGTAGATTTTCTTCAAGATACTCAAGATTAAAAAGTATGCTGCATAAGAATTACACCAACCAAGTACAATTTGCTCAAAGATATTACTTCAGTACAGGTAACGGAGTAAATGTAACTCATTAATACCTCTGCATTTAGACTAGCTAGTCAGTGAAAATAACAGTACAGTGTACATTTATTCCTTCCATTTATTTCCATATTTGCCATTTTAATTTTGTGATGCTAGATTAGCTGCTCAGTGACTTTACAGTAACTGGTTATTTGATAATGGCTCCTAGCTGATTAGAGTGTAACTAATTGTGTGTTGTTTTCAGACTCTGCTGGACAGTTTCTGTGGCCACAGCTTGTAAGTAACTTCTGATGGAGTCTGTCAGTCACCATCCTTTGAGCCTGTTGGCAGACTGTCCTGACTGCAGAGCTTTTCTCTCCACAGTGACCTTCTATGAATACTCCACTGTACTGCAAGCCTTGTTCCTGACCTGTGCCGTGTTTGCTGGACTTACAGCCTACACCTTCCAGTCCAAGAGAGACTTCAGCAAAATGGGAGCAGGGTGAGTTTGTCAGGGCTGCTGCTCAATGCTGATTATCAAAGCTGCTGTATTCCCCCTCCAGAGGGAGTCACTGTCAGACGTTTAATATCTGATCTGTTCTGTCCTTACAGGCTGTTCGCCTGCCTGTGGATCCTCATCATTGCAAGCTTCATGAGGGTAGGTGGAACTGCCAGACATTAATTTGCCTAATTCATATGAAGGAAATAAAATGAAGTGAAGGAAAGGGAGAGATAAAGATAAATAAGAAGGCTGCATTCAAGGGGCTGTGCAGCTGTGGACATGTTGCTACAGGTGAAATATGATCCTGGAAGTCTGGTGTGAGATTGAAGGCTTATGCGACACCACATCACTGCACAGTGGTTTATGCGACTGTGAGAAAGGATTTTACCACTAAAGTCATCACATGACCATTTTATCTCCCACTGCGTTTATTGTGAGCTAAACAGCAGAATCCCTGCTAACCCACCAGGAATGTTCACATGCATGTCTTTATTTGGCCAACGCAGCACCTTGCCAGATGATTATGGTTGTTATCACTTAAATTTGAGCGATTCCGACCCGTTTGTGTTCACTGCTCGTGACATTCATCCAGTTCCTCCTTGCTCGTTTTCCCCTTCATGGCTAAAGTTTCTGTACTGAAAGAATAATATTGGAATCATTTGTGGACATAATTTATTTCCCTTCGGTATAAAAGGTGAACGACAGCTCACTTGTGTTTTGTACCTGAGTAGGAGACGTTGCTACTGTTAGCGTTAGCTGCATCTGGGGGCGTCACTGGCGATTCACGCCGTGTTGGATCTGCTTCCTCCCTCGCACCGAATGTCCTAACTGCTGGTGTGTCATTTTGCTGTGTCGTTGTCTTTTTTTAGTGAATCTTAGCCAAACTTTAGAGTGTTTGCTGCGGTCCGCCATGGTGCAGGAATGAAGTAGAGAAGTACTCTTCTCGCATACATTGTTGACATGGGAAAATGTTATAAAGTAAGAATCCTTTCAAAAATCAACATGTTAATAGATTATATTTATAAATTAACAAAATCCAAAGTTATCTGCAGCCAAAAAGTTTAATGTTTTGAATGCTAGTCTCTCCTCACAATTAACGGTCGCCATCTTGGCTATTTAGTGAAGGGAAGTGAAGCTTCAGCAGTTGCAGTTGCTGCACCGTACTATAGCAATTTTAAGTAATGCATGTGTGTGAAGGAGACAACACTTTCCCAGTGTGCATGAGCTTTAAAGTCTCATTAACTAACAGTTCATAAAGTAAAGGGAGTGCGGGTGACTGCGGGACGTTGAGAGAACAATTGTATCCACAAAATGTAGTAGATAGATCCAGTTTCAGAAAAAGCCAGGGTGTAACTTTAATGGGACACAACAGTTGGCCCTCGATGTACAGTTTCCCCATGACTAGTGCAGCTGGTCGCCTCTTATTCCAGGGTTCTTTGAAGAGTGGGTACAGTGATTTTTTTTTTTTTTATTGTTTTTTACATCTTTAGGTAATTTCTTTGGGGAGCTTGTTGCTCATGCCGAACGTACCTTTCAGCCCCCTCCCTTTTTTTTGACCAGTTCTTTCTGCTGGTAATGTTCAAATCCTTATTGCTTTTGCTGTCCAGGTGAGGCATGCGGTGGAACATGATGTTATGGACATAGTCAGGTGGACATTTTAGGGAGCTTGCTCTGGGTTTGCAGGATTGCTTTATTAAATACTGGGTGGACAATACTTGGCTCCTTCAGGCAGGCCAGACGAATGCTTTATGATGTTGAAAAGAACTTGCATAATGTAAACTCTCAGGGTAGCACACTTTTCCAGCCGGAATCTAGCTACAGCGTGCCGCCATGTTGGAGTCATGGGTGATCTATCTACTTAGTGCTGCTGCTTTGCCTCAGTCAGATATGTGTGTGGGCTTTTTTTTTTTTTTTTTTTTTTTTTTTTTTTTAAGTCAGTCTGCAAACAGCAAGGCACAAAGAAAAAGAGAAAGTAAGAAACAAAAAGTAAAACAACAGAAAGAGAAACAAATATAGCAATAAAGAAACTGAAACAAATAGAATCTGACAGAACAAAGAAACCACTAGAAAGGAGTGGTCAACACTGGTGTTGGTGCTTTCTCTAAAAGTGTCCCATTACTTTTAGTTCATAATCTGTACTAACATGTATTCAAGCTTTTTGTAAGTGGATATAGTCTCTGTGCAAAACATTATTTTCTAATATTCACACATCAGAGTGGATTATGCTGCTCATGGATACCCACATGCCAGAGAGCAGGAGAGAATATGACAAGTGATGTGTGTCAGTGTCATTTTAAAGTAACCAATATATTAAATATACATAATAACACAGCATGTATGAATAAAGAGAGCATGAATGCATACAGAGTCAGTGGAAAGATGTGATGGGATAAGCAGAGAGGTTAGACAAAAACACATTTGCTCAAGTTGAGACATGTTTCACATTTGCTGTGATCCTTCACAGCAAATGTGAAAGACAGACAGGAGCCGTACACAAAAACACTGTCCGTATGGGTTGTAAAATAAACAGTTGACTACTGATAAAAACTTTTTCTTTAATGGTGGTGATCAAATGTACACAGTGCAGTGGACAGAGTCGCCTCCATCCTGATTGACAGGTTGCCATGGTAGCGACTTGTCAGTCACAAGTTAGCCCCACCCTAAAGCATCCCCTGCTTTATCTATTTTCCTCTAAATGGGACCATAATTTCCTAAATGAACATCATGCTGTATTGAAGAAGACTTGAAACTAGCGACTGATAAACTCATTAGGAAAGTGTTTACTGAGGTAATAAATCAGGTGAGAAGGAGGCTTTTGCCACTGAGTCCAATGCAGTCGGATTTCTTTTGCATCCTGTGGAGTCGCCCCTGCTGGGCGTTAGAAAGAATGCAGGTTTAAGGCACTACCGCACTGGCTTCACTTTCAGAGCTGTAGGTTCCCGATGGTTGTTATAGACACTGTGTGTTTGTCGGTCAGAAACCCATTCACTGCAGTACCGTGAGGGGCCGAGAAGGTTGTGATTTTTGAACGCGGTTGTGATCGAGGGATGGAGCATTATGTAGAGTCCATTAAGTTTATAGACACCTTAACAGTTTATATGGGATACAGGGCTGGAAGATATCATCTAAAATCAATATCAAGATTACTTGATACATTCACCTCAGTAACAATTAGTTAAACAATATCTTACTCTGTGTACAAGATTCTCTGTCCTCACAGTGTACCTGTTAATAATTATTTGTACTGAACAATTCACAGAAAGGTCTCCATCGTAGCCTGGGGCCTGAGTTGTTTGAGCCTGCATTCACTGTGCCAGGTCTTGAGGTTGAGATCATAGCTGCGCAGCCGTAGGTCTTCCATTGCAGCTAGGAGGGACTCCTCTGGGTCATCATGCGGTTGCACCGCCTAGCCGCTAGACATGTGCTGCTCATCTTCTGACACACATGCCGCTGTTGTTGATGACTGTCTACAGTTGCCTGGGCAACTGAGGTCGTAATCCTGAAGGTGTGCAGGGAGCGTTGTGTTCCTCTTGACTCGCACGTCTGCTTCTCGTTCTCTCAGCTAGAGGGTTGACATTTTGCGCTGCAGTGTCCCTGAAGTTGTATGTAGTTCTGAAATATAAGCAATTAATAGGCATCAGTTAATTACACAGGATACTATATATATGTACATAGAATTTACATTAGTCTAATATGCCAAAAATAGGCTTTTGGCCATCAATGCTACCACAAACTTTATTTGTAGAAACTTGTGTTGTAGCCACCAGCATATAGAACAATATGAAAAGGAGTTAACTTCATTTCCATGTAATAAAGGCTGAGTTAGACTTTAAGGCCATAGACAGGTGTTTAGAAATAGTGAGGTCCTTGTCCTGCTTTTTAAATGAGAACAACTGCAGTAGCTTTCAGGTTTTGCCCTAAATTACCTGACACATTAGACAAGGCATGACGAGAAAGAAAAAGAGAGAGAAAGAACCCCTCCACATGGTGGCGCCCTCTGTCTGCCCTGCTCCGACTGGACACACGTTTAATTACAGGTGCATTACAGAGGTCGGTGGCAGCATGTAGGAAGGAATGAATTTATAAACAAACATGACAGAAATTGCTTGGTTACTGTATAAAGTTGATTTTGTTAACTTAACAATTAATTGCCCATCCCAAGAGTGGAAGCTGTGGAACAGTGTTGTCCACATACCACATGCTATGTACTTGGCCAATTAGTGAAGAACACAAACATTCTAAATAGCCAGTCTATGTTGCCGGCAAAGTTTCGGTACAGCTGTAAAGAGAAGTCAGCCTCATTTCCCCTTCACGCTGACTCTGGTCTCTCTGCAGTTCTTCTTCAACAGTGACAGCACAGAGCTGATCATGTCTGGAGCTGGGGCTCTGATCTTCTGCGGTTTCATCATCTACGACACCAACCTGCTGATGAAGCAGCTCTCCCCCGAGGAGCACATTTTAGCCTCCATCAACCTCTACCTGGACATCGTCAACCTCTTCCTGCACATCCTGCGTCTCCTTGACTCGATGAAGAAGCACTGAAGGCTGCAGTACCACTTCAGACTGCTTCACTCGGCTATTATCTATTGTTGTTAACCCTAACAGCCTCACTGGAACCCCTCAGATATGACTGTCATTACCCTGCATTCATGCGAGTGTTACCATCCTGACGTTCACAAACATGAGATTTTAGAGGGGACTCTTCATTCTGTGCTTGGGGAACTCTCTTTACAGGCAGCTGCACTAAGTGCTTCTGTTTACTTTACCCATACTTTTTGTAGCTGATTGCACTTTTGTATTAAATGAAGTCAATCTATAAGTTTTGATTATTCTGAAATGAAAATGTACTCATTATAATTAGGTGACAGCCAGTCAGTTAAGGGGACATTACATGATTTGATATAGGGCACACTAGCATCCCTACCCGGCCCAATTGCAGCTCTCCTTGTTTTTGACCCCAGATAGACACTTTGTGATGTGAGGCACTAGTGGATGCTGTAACAATTGTAGTGTGTGCATTTTTCTTCCCAACAGTATCTCTCAGTGGTGATTCAGATCTATCATTCCACTCATTTATTCTGTTATTTATTGTTTATGTTTTCAATCTTGTCAGAAATGAGTTTATTCCACCAGTGCACTGCAGCCCTCTCATGTGCCACATCTGTTAATGATGTACAATAGCAAGAAAAATTAATTTGCATGCCTGGGATTTTTAATATCTGTGATTGTATATATGTTTATGGTGTAAATGTAACAGTGACAGTTTTTGGGATCAAGAACTGAAACCCTGAAACATGAGGTAAGCCTAAATATGTGATTCGTCTGATTCATCTGCATCAGGATATGTTAAATGAGATGAAGGCGTTAGCTTCAACTGTTAATTAACTAAATGAATTATTAATAAAAAGACCACGTGCAATGTTTTTCATTTTTAAACAGTTGTGCGTGAAGTTATATGAAACTGCCTCCTGGTTTTGTGCTGGACCATAGACTGCATATAAAGATGGCTGACGCGTCTCCACTTCCTCCCTCTGTACAAAAACTAAGCCAAAGTATCCCAGATGCAAATTTGCTAATCCTACTATGGCGAAGGCGTGACCCATCCTGCTCAGCCTCTAATTGGTTTAGCCTGACAATGTTTCTCACATAGCTGTCCCCAAGCAAGGTTTTCTTTATGTCTCACGTACTGGAAGTGGTGGACTTTAATGCATATTTATTTTTAACTTAAGCAGAATTGTCGGCAGTTTTGTGTTTACATGGCTCATGCTGTTCACTCACTCACTCAAGAATAAATTATTGTTTATAACCATCTGGTTCATTTGACTGAACTCTAGCAAGGTCTGATGAATCAAAGGCAGCTACCCACTGAACACTTGAACACAGGTCGGCTTGATAAGAACTACCTAAAACAACAAACAACCTGTGGGGGGAAAAATGTATTGTGCACTTTGATTGGAGGGGGCGGGGCTTATTATCTATCAGAGATGGGGACTCGAGTTTGAGACTTGCACTTAAGTCTCACTCAGTGACTTCAGACTTGACTCTGACTCGAGGTGTGGGACTCGTGAACAATGTTTATTTTTAGGAAACTTCAGCTTGATGTTTGGACTCTACTTCAGAGACTTGAGACTTGACTTGGACTCTACCTCAGAGACTTGAGACTTGACTTGGACTCTACGTCAGAGACTTGAGACTTGACTTAGACTCTACTTCAGAGACTTGAGACTCAACCTGGACTCTACGTCAGAGACTTGAGACTTGACTTAGACTCTACTTCAGAGACTTGAGACTCGACTTGGACTCTACGTCAGAGACTTGAGACTCGACTTGGACGCTACGTCAGAGACTTGAGACTCGACTTGGACTCTACGTCAGAGACTTGAGACTCGACCTGGACTCTACGTCAGAGACTTGAGACTCGACTTGGACTCTACTTCAGAGACTTGAGACTCGACTTGGACTCTACTTCAGAGACTTGAGACTTGACTTGGACTCTACTTCAGAGACTTGAGACTCGGCTTAGACTCTACTTCAGAGACTTGAGACTCGACTGGACTCTACGTCGAGACTTGAGACTCGACTTGGACTCTACGTCAGAGACTTGAGACTCGACCTGGACTCTACGTCAGAGACTTGAGACTCGACTTGGACTCTACGTCAGAGACTTGAGACTCGACCTGGACTCTACATCAGAGACTTGAGACTTGACTTAGACTCTACTTCAGAGACTTGAGACTCGACTTGGACTCTACCTCAGAGACTTGAGACTTGACTTAGACTCTACCTCAGAGACTTGAGACTTGACTTAGACTCTACTTCAGAGACTTGGGACTCGACTTAGACTCTACTTCAGAGACTTAAGACTTGACTTAGACTCTACTTCAGAGACTTGAGACTCGACTTAGACTCTACCTCAGAGACTTGAGACTTGACTTAGACTCTACTTCAGAGACTTGAGACTCGACTTAGACTCTACCTCAGAGACTTGAGACTTGACTTAGACTCTACTTCAGAGACTTGAGACTCGACTTAGACTCTACCTCAGAGACTTGAGACTTGACTTAGACTCTACCTCAGAGACTTGAGACTTGACTTGGACTCTACTTCAGAGACTTCAGACTCGACTTAGACTCTACCTCAGAGACTTGAGACTTGACTTAGACTCTACCTCAGAGACTTGAGACTTGACTTAGACTCTACCTCAGAGACTTCAGACTCGACTTAGACTCTACCTCAGAGACTTGAGACTTGACTTGGACTCTAGCTCAAACACTTGTGAGCATCTCTGTTATCTGTACTGCAGCCAAACATCACGGGGCGAGCTAGATGTTTTGGCTTTGCTTTTGGGGAGCTGTCACGTTGTCCGTCTTTATATACAGTCCGTGTGCTGGACTAACAGCAGATTCTTTCTGGCATTGTGTTTGTTTTGTTTATTATGCTTTCTGATAAATTGCTGGTGTAAACTGTTATTAAACAGTCTTTATGGAGCTGTCACAGTCATGTGGAAATAAAGATTAAAATATTACATACTGACTGAAAGGGGGTGACTATTTTTTGGGATATTAAATGTTTTATTTGTACTTATTTTTGATCGATTTGTGGAGATTGTTTTCCCTTAAACAGTCTTCTGTTGATCGTAAAATCTTAAATCTAAGTCCGAGGGCAGAGAGGGGATTATTTTTAATATTAGACAAACATTTCCGTTTTGACTTCATACAGTTTACTGATTGTCTTTTCATGTGAAAATCAGCCTGCAAAACTTGCATTTCTGTACAAAACTCAACTGACACTTCACTGCATGAAAACCAGGATTATCAACATAGTTATTGTCATGTTCACCCCACCCCCCTGCAGCTCTGTAGAGTGCTCCTTTATCAGGATCTAGCAAAGATCTAGTTATGGATTCCAATGCAAACACTGTTCCTTTCACAGCTTTGTGACTAAAACAAAGCAAAACTAAAGTAATCACACTAAGTAAAAATGATTTGTGTATCTAAAAGAAATCTTAATGAGATGTTGGCACCTCTGAATTGTTTCCCAAAAACTTTTATTGATATTGTATTGAGTGTTGTTCCTGTTTATACATCAGGGGCCGTATTCACAAACATTCTGAGAATACTTTTCTACCTTTGTAGGAAGGAGTCCTGGCTTAGGAAGGATTTTGGAAAATTCTTAGAGCGACTCTGAGCAAGAAACGGACAGAAACTTAGTGAGGAAGTGTGGTTGACCCTGTAACTAGGTATGAGCATAGGGTATGAGGCATCTCTTTTAAATTATATGATTGGTTAATTAAAACAAAAGAAATAGTTGCTTAGAATGGACAGTAAAATCGTTAGGCCAAGCCATTGAATTTAGTAAAAAAATAAAGTTTCTGTGTTAAAATGAATACTATTTTCACATCTGTTGAATGAGTTGTATGCCATTCTTCAAAAGTAGTGTTGAAACATACTTGTGCAGTACCTGTTCACATGCTGATAGTTATTATATATATTTTATGTTTATTTACCATGCTGGTAATTTCAGTACTTTTGTACTGTTCATCAATTTAGGCCTATAAGTTGTGGCGTTGGTTGGCATATAAATCTATCCTCCCATAAACCAGCGAACAAGCAAACAAGTAATGGAAGCAACCCAACTGAAAAAGAGCAATGTTTAGTTGTTATCAATTAGTTAATTAGCGTAAAACTATTGGTTGTGCGCACTGTGCACCAGTGGAGTACGAATAAATGTGTTGCAGTCCAAAGCGAGAGGGGAGATTGCAGCACACAATCGGGATTCTTCACACACAGGTAAGCTGTATTGTTTACTGCTGGTAAAGTTCACTTAAATACAGATTTATACAGGATATGTATTGTTTGGGCATCTGGTAAGGATGCCTCCTGGACGCCTCCCTAGGGAGGTGTTCCAGGCACGTCCAGCTGGGAGGAGGCCACGGGGAGACCCAGGACTAGGTGGAGAGATTATATTATATCTCCACACTGGCCTGGCAACGCCTCGGGATCCCCCAGTCTGTGTTTCACCTGTGTCGCTTATCTCCACCCACTTAGGTATTTAAGTCTCTGTCTCACTAGTGTCTATTTTCCAGTTCATTGTTTCACTTCTGTGTTCATGAATGTTCATACCAGTGTTTGCATTCCTGCCTCTTGTCTCTGGATTATTCCCCGTGTTTTCCTCTGGATGTTTTGACATTCAGTTTTGGACTTCTCACCCATTTTTATGGTGGATTACTTTGCTTTTGTTTCTGGACTGTCAACTGCCACCTCATCTGTAAATGTCCCCTATTGTAAATAAACACCTTATCTTTCCCATTCAGTTTGTGTCTACATGTGGACTGAAAACCCTGCTTTATCATCTGTTTTCCTCTAAATGGGACCATAATTTAATTAACATTATATTTCTTAAATAACACAATAAACACAATACTATTGGGCAAACTGAAAAAATAACCAGCACAAAAGAAAACTAATTAGTAATATAGTTTTACTAATCAATTACCAAATCAAACAAAAAAGCTGTTCATTTTTTAATGGTTTATTTGACAGGTATAGATACAGGATAGACAAACTGAAAATGGCTATCTGATGCAAACATCATAGTGGTTGAAGTGGATGCTAATTTGCACAATGAAGGTAAACTGAATACAACAAAATACAATAATGCACACATAATGCCACATACTGTTGGTCATCTGTTAATACTCATGCATCATGCCCATCCTCCACATGCCAGTCCCCCCACTTGTCTACTGCTAATGATGGTTCAAAGTATTGTGCCAACACTTAGTGTATCTGTGGGACAGCAATGCTTTTTCTTGGGGGCACGGTGCCCTGTCCACGTTGTGACACCCTTAGCTATGGCCTATACACCCTATGCCTATAGATCAGCCCTGAGTAGAGATAACATTGTAGAATACAGGCAGTCTCTCAGCCAGAAGAGTAATAGTGAAGAACTGGAAGCAGCAGCATGTAACAGTACCTGTAGGATTCTGAAATGGGCTTGTTAATTCTTTTTGGACTGCTAGCAGGACAATCTTATGAATCTGCAACATCTGATGATTGTGTGCATGAGCACATGTGGGTCCCTGTCTTGTCAATCTTGTAATCAGTCACAGCAATCACAAACCCCTAGAACCTAATTAAATAACAAGATGTACATGTTTTTGGTAAAAATGCTGGAGTTCTTAAATAAGTTAACTGGCTTAATCTGGTTTAAATAAACGGGAATGATTTCAGTTCAAAGTTGAACCATTCTAATAGCTAACTAGCTAATGACACACACAAAACAGGAGTGAAAAGACCAAAGTGCTGTACAGTAAAACGTTGTCTATGAAGATTCTCAGTCATCCAGGTCATAGTTATCCAATGAAGGTTAAAATCAAGGGCAACTGGACTTGGTTGAAGATACTGTTTTACTGTACTGGTGTACAGTAAAACACAATTTCAAGAAAATGTATGATCACATTCTCTTCACTCTCTTCAGCCATCTTTTTAAAAAAACAATAAGATGACAGTCTGAAACTGATACTGCACTAAAGCAATTAGGGAATCTTTAGAAATGTATGGTGGAGTATCACATCTAGTGTGACGTTACTGAGAGCTTTTTATAAAATATAATGCAATGCATTCGTTGAAGCTTTTTATCTCCCACAGTGAAAATCTAACGCTTTGACCTGAAAGACAGACTTCACACAACGTGAGGTGGGGTTCTTGTTGTTGTTGACCAGGTCTAGTAGGATAACTCACATCGCACCCATCCTGTCGTCTTTACACTGGCTCCCTGTCAGGTTCACAATTCATTTTAAGGTTTATG